TAATAGTTTTAGTCAACTTATATCACAATTAATTGTCCAATAACATTAAACAAAAGAAGTTTATTTAGGAAAATTTTTATGAATAATTTTTTAAAATAATTTCATATAATTGGTTCTTTTTATCTATTGAAACTTGTTATATTATATATATATATATTTAATAATATATAAAATTTATAAATAAATATAAATAAATTATTTTGCCCATATACAAATGAATATCTATTGTTGTTTCATATATATCTAATACAAAGAATTAATCATAGTTAGAAAATATTGCATATTTGTCTTGACTTTGAAAAAAATTAGAGTTTTAACTTAAAAAATATCATTATTCAATGAATATTTTTTAAAATTAATTATTAAATTTAGTTTATTAATCATATAAAACACATGTCAACTTTTAGATTGATTAAATATATATAAATTATTCATTGATTATAAATTTTTTTTAACTATCATTGAGTATATAATTAATAAAAAATATAAGTTTCTTAATTGAATAATTATATAGGTTAAGTAAATTTAAAACTTAATATGCATAATATATATTAATAAAATGTTAATTTAAAAAATTAATTTTTAAAATTATTTATTAAAAAAATATCAATTTTATAATTAAAATTTTTATTTTTATTTATTTATTTTTTAAATCAAGACAGATACTTAGCACTTAGCATTCTCTGCTGGTAATGGTGACATAAAAGTATCTCTTCTACGTAAAGAATTCTGAAGGAATCATTTTCCACTGCTTATTATTTCATCTTTCCTTGAAGACGCATTTGTCTTTTTTCTTTTTTGGTATGAAGACGCATTTGTTTGTTTCTCTGTTCTCAGCGTTCTCACTTGTAAGCAATCAATTACTATAATTTAGCTAAAAAATGAAAAAAATAAGGACCATCCATACCATTTATAAAATGAGATGAGATAACAAAATGATAATCCATTCTATTCATTCAATTATGAGCAGTGCTAGGGGCACTCGCCTCTTGCACTCTCCGGCCAACACTTCCCCTTTCATTGGGCCACGTAAGCTTGTTTCAGGCTTTGAAGGCAATCTCTTACCGACCAGACTAATGTGGCCCAATAAAAGTGAAAGTGTTGGCCGGAGAGTGCAGAAGGCGAGTGCCCCTAGCAGTCCCCTTCAATTATTGGATTCCATCCCTAGTTCTCCATTTCCTAGCCTCAACCCGCCTTTAGGGCCCATTGTACCTCCAATTGGCCCAATTCCTTCCTCATCTTCACTACCTTCAGAACCGAACAGTGCCCTCTTGACCACTGCCACTCCTGTGCCCCCCCAGATTTGTCTCCGCCATCGTCCGTCCCTCAGCCTAGTAATGTTGCGCCTCATGATTTTACCAGATTTTCTTCCGGGTCCCCTGATTCTCTCTCTGCTGTTTCAATTGGTGACTGCTACGCCTCTGTTTCTACCCCTACACAACCTTCTTCTACTACTCCTTCTTCCTTCGGTGGTGCTCCTTGGCGTACTCACAGTATGGTGACTCATTCACAGGCAGGTATTCGGAAGCCCAAAATCTTACCATCTCTGGTTCATACTCTCACTCATTTGCAGGAACCCAGGACTTTTAAGCAGGCTCGGAAATTTCCAGAATGGTAGTGAGCTATGCAGGAGGAATTTTTGGCATTATAGCGCAATAAAACTTGGATTTTAAAACTTGGATTTTGGTACCCCCTCCATCCGGTGCTAATATTGTGGGCTCCAAATGGGTATATCATATTAAATAGAGATCTGTTGGTAACATTGAGCGATATAAGACTCGACTTGTGGCACATGTATACACAGCAGCCTGGGATTGAATATAATGAGACTTTTAGTCTGGTGGTCAAGCCTGTTACCATCCGAGCAGTTCTTACTCTTGCATTTTCCAAGCCTTGGCCAATTCATCAGCTTGATGTCAAAAATGCCTTTTTTAATCGCTATTTATCTGAGCTTGTTTATATGGCTCAACCACCTGGGTTTGTTGATCCAAAATATCCTGATCATGTTTGCCTTCTGCAATGGGCACCTTATGGTTTGAAACAAGCTCCTCGTGCATGGTTTCTAAGGTTTGCTGCTTTTCTTTATTCCTGTGGTTTTATTTAGGCCTATTCTGATTGTTTTATGTTTTTATATCACTCCAATGGTATGCTGGCTATTCTGCTTTTATATGTTGATGATATCATCCCCACTGCCTCTACTTCGTCCCTTTTGCACCGGATCATGTCTTTATTGAAGCAGGAATTTTTTATGTCAGATTTGGGTGTTCTTAATTATTTTTTAATTATTTTTTGGGCATTACTGCCTCTTTTAAATCTGATTGCCTTTTTCTCTATCAAACTAAGTACATAGTTGATTTGTTGGCTTGCATTAGTATGTCTGATTGCGTTGCTGTTGCTACCCCTATGACACCAAGGCAAAAATTAGCTGCTTCTGATAGTCCTCATTTGAATTCTACTTAGTACCATAGTATTGTTGGTGCCTTACAGTACTTGACATTTACTCATCCTGATATTGCTTTTGTCGTTCATCAAGTTTGCCAGTATATGCATGCTCCAACTCAAAAATCATTTTCAGGCAGTCAAAAGGATACTTCGTTACTTAAAGGATACTACACATCATGGTCTTCAATTATTCAAGGAATTCTCCCCTTCTTTACATATTTATACTAATGTAGATTGGGTTGGCTATTTGGATAGTCATCGCTCTACTTCAGGTTATTGTTTATTTTTTGGTCGGTCCTTTATCTCTTGGTCTTCTTAAAAGCAGAATATTGTTGCTCGATCTAGTGCCAAGGCTGAGTATCATGCTATGGCAAATGCTGTTGCTGAAGTTGTTTGGGTTTGTCCATTATTGATTGAGTTACGGGTATTTCTTTCTTCTGCTCTTGTTCTTCTATGTGATAATATTAGTGCTCTCTATCTAGCTCTCAATCCTATCCAGCATCAGCGGACCAAACATATTGAGATTGATATTCATTTTGTTCGAGAAAGAGTTGCTTCTCAAGCCATTCTTTTGCAGCATGTCCCTTCCTCTTTACAGTGTGCTAATATTCTTACTAAGGCTTTATCATCGACTGGTTTCTGCTCTCAAGAGTCCAATTTGTGCATGCTTCATCAACCTGCTTAAATTGCAAGGGGATGACAGTATGTTATATTTGGAGGTCATTTAGGTACTTTAAGCTTGTACATATATATAAATATGTAACCCTAATTTTATGTGAATGAGAAAGTGATTATTCACGGTTTCAATTTCTACTTATTGACTTATGGGTTATAAGAAGGTGCTAGGTGTCGATACAAATCAAATAATTAAAAATTAAAATAATATTAGGATGACATTTGTTTATTAATGGGTTAAACAATGTTTGATATATATTTCGATGTAATACTCATATAATATATTTATTAAAAGATTATTATTTTTTCATCTAACTTACTTTCTCAATTGAATTTATTGATTAGAAGAACTACAAGGGTTTGTCTGGCAATTTGTAGTAATGGAAGCGCAAGAAATCAAGGAAATACAACAGTTCTATGGATTTACTCATAAAGAGAAGGATCAGAAAACCTCGGTGTTGGAATTGCAACAAGAGGATTCTTCAGCTTCAGAACAATCCCAAACTTGTCTGCAATCTCCGGCTTCT